GCCTAATGGAGCGTGTATCCACCAGCTATGAGCCCCTAACTGACATTCTCACTCGCATATCTGACCTTGATCATCATATGGATATGATAGAGACCATCTTGTCATGGCCATTCTCCCTAACCTTAGGTGGAACAATATTTTCTGTCAACAAAGATCAACACTCTCCCGATTACGTGTACTTATTGAGCGAGAAAGTCATTCTTTAAAGATATGAAAGTCCGCACCGAACAAGACCTTCAAGAAATGCAAGACCAATAGGATTGTTATCGTCCCGACCTAGAAGATCTCTTGGACGAAGAACCTGAACTGGTCTCCGCGAATTGGGATGAAGTTTCTGAACCAGAAGACGATCATATTTGTGTCATCCTTTCGGATGATGAATAAAGCCTCTTCTTGTGGGTTTGAACCCTTAACGGGTTCTTAGATTTTTTTTGTAATAAAAATTAGTGACAATGTTCTGAAAAGGCCGTAAAATACCTTTTCAGATACTTGGCATTAATATTCTCATGCACCAATTTCCCTTCCTTATTCACAATAATAAAAGCTCCGTTTCCAATTACTTTGTGAATGATGAAAGGACCTTCCCAATTGAGAGACCATTTGTCTAACTGATCCACTTTTTTATATGTAGGTAAAATTGTTTTCCACACCAAATCTCCTTCTGCAAAAATTTAGGGGATACTTTTTTTCCATAATATTTAGCTCTGATCTTATTTTGTCTAACCACTCGATCCAGAGCATTCAATCTATCGGTGTCTACTTCCTCCAATCGTTGCCATATCCCTTGTATATATGCTTCATCATTATTCACCGTAGTATTAATCACTCTAGGTGAAGATAAACAAATTCCGCAGGAAGTACAGCATCTTGCCCGAACGTGAGCTGATAGGGAGAAAATCCAGTAGAAGTGTTCCGACAATTTCGGTGGGCCCACAGTGCCTGAGGCAACAGAGTATGCCATTTCCTTGGATTTCCCTCCACCATTTTCCGAATGATGCCGATGAAAATTCTATTTGCTGTTTCATCCAATCCATTCGCCTACGGGTAATAAGGAGAAGAATGATGCAATTTGATGTTGAATTCAGCCAAAAACTCAATGAATTTTTCTCCGGTAAACATCAAACCCTGATCGGTCATAAGAGTGTGAGGAATCCCAAACCGGTAAACAATGTGATTAAGTACAAACTCAATCACTTCTTTCTGTGTCGCGTTCTTCAAAGGGACTACTTCTACCCATTTGGTGAAATAATCAGTTGCTACTAAGATGAACGAATGTTGCTTCGATGAAGCCGGATGAATTTTCCCTATTACATCCAATGCCCAGGCTTTGAATGGCCATGGTTTGAACATCGCCTGGAGTTTCACTGCTGGCAGATGATTTAACGGGCCATGCCTCTGACACTCCTGACATCCTTTAGCAAATTTGATACAATCATCAAATATTTTTGGCCAAAAGAACCCCAAACGATGAATAGCCCATCGCATGTTCAGCCCTACTCGGTGTGCTCCACAGATTCCACCATGAACTTCTTCCATCACTTTGATGGATTCTTCTAGTCCCAGACACCTTAATAATACTCCTTCAAAGGTTCTCTTATACAGAACCCCTTCAATGAGTTGGAAACATAATGCTTTCAACAGAATACCCACAGGAGTTGCAGAATTTGATGTTCCAAATAGGCTATAATATTTGTTCTTCAATCAGTAATCGTATCAATATTGCCAACAAATATTTGTTGACACGCATTCTGAGCCAAATTATCTGCTTGTCGATTCTCTGTTCTCAGTACATGTTCAATAACCACCTCCGCAATTCTATATAACAGGCGATATACCAAATCTCGATATTGATGTAAATGAGGATAATTACAAGCGTACCGTTTTAACACCTGATTGATAACCAATTGAGAATCCCCACAAATAATAACTGCATGTGCTCCTTTGGCCACAAGTGCCTCCAGACCCAAAATCAAAGCTTCATATTTTGTAGAGTTATGAGTCATCTCCTCCATTTGAAGTTGCAGAATGATCTTTCGGGCTTCTGGCGCTTCTAATATAACTCCTGCTCATGACCTCCCTTTGGAACGAGAACCATCAAAAAAACATTTTCCAAGGACTAGTACCTATATAAGGTACCATCTTGCCTTTTGTTGGTTCACTATTCGTAAATTTAGCTAATATATCAGCCACCACCTGCCCTTTCACTGCCTTGATATGTCGATGTCTTAGCGTAAAGGGAGCCAATCTTATCGCCCATTTCATTAATGTTCCTTGCATAGTTGGTCTATGCAGAATTAATCTGATCAGATCCAACTTTGGAAACCACCTCGGTTTCTCTTGGCAAAATATAGTGCTCCAGTCGAGTACATGCGAAGACTAAAGAATAACATATTTTTTCAGGCATGGTATAATTCAACTCCGGCCCTGCTAAAGTTTTGCTTAAGTAGTGAATAGCTCTTTCTTTGCCGTCTTCTCATTCTTGTGCCAACTAACTACTTACCACACGAAACTATTTGCCACATACAGTCTAGGGGGTCAGTCTCCCCTTGGAGGAACCAACATGGGTGGTTTTATTAATGCCTGCTTAATTTCTTCTAATGCCTCTTGCTGCTCCGGACCCCAAGAAAAATCAGTTGCTTTATTCTTTAGCAACCTTGTGATGGGTTTTAACTTTCCTGCGGCATTTGATACAAACCTCCTTAGGTAATTTACTTTACCCAACAAACTTTGCACTTCTTTGACCGACCGAGGGGGGCGCATTGTTAAAATAGCTTTAGTTTTGTTTGCATCAACCTCTATCCCCCTTTCATGCACTAAAAAACCAGGAAATTTCCTGCCGAAACTCCAAAAATGCATTTCGTTGGGTTCATCTTAAGGTTGTATTGCTTCATCCGTAGGAAAGCATTTCTCAGGTCGACTAGATGTGTATCAAAGTCAGTATACTTAATAATCACATCATCAATGTATACCTCCATTGACTGCCCAATCAAATCGTGAAAGATAGTATTCATTGCCCGTTGATAGGTTGCTCCAGCATTCTTTAACCCGAATGGCATAACCGTCCATTCGTAGATCCCCAAGGCCCCTGGGCACCTAAATGCAGTTTTCGGTATATCTTCTTCTGCCAGTGAGATCTGATTATACCCTGCATAACCGTCCATCAAGCTCAAAATTCGGTGTCTTGCCGCTAAATCGATCAACATATCAGCTATGGGCATTACATAATCATCTTTAGGGGTAGCCAGATTGAGATATCTGAAATCAAGGCAGATCCGAATATTTCCATTCTTCTTGGTTACCGGGACAATATTGGCTAACCATTCTGCATACCGACAGGGTCGGATGAACCCTACTTTCAGCAATTTCTCAATTTCTTCTTTGACTTGTGGAAGTAGCTTTGGACTAACCCTTCTTGGTGGTTGCTTATACGACTTGAACCCTTTTTTAATGGGCAACCTATGTTCTATTAAATCGCGTACCAATCCGGGCAGTTCGGAATAATCCCATGCCAAACACTCCATATGGTCCCGAATTACCGCCACCATTTGCTTCTACTGGTTTTTAGACAACAAACCACTAATCCTGACCATCTTGGGTATTTGTTCGGTTCCTACACTGTATTCAATGAGCGGATCCTAAGTTGATAAGGAAGGTTCTGTTTTCTCCAGAAGGTCAAGCCAGCGAAAGCCTTCTCCTTCATCAACATTATTGTTGGAACCTTCCTCGCCATGTAGTCTAACCATTAATTTCTTTAAATAAAACTGTCTAGTCAACAAGTTGCATTCACCTATCTCTTCCATAATTAAATTTTAATAAATCTAACGTTTTTGGCTAACAACAGAGCCATAATAGAGAAAAATGTTTCTAATGAAACACATATCCCTGCGCAGTGAGCTTACAGCTCTTCCAGGGGTACTCATCCACCACAACTGTCTGTGAGATCAAAGGTACATATTCAGAGTAATGTACGGATTCTTCCACAATCTCTGTGGGACCGAATGGATTAGTGTTGGCATCCATTCTGAACACTTGATCTCCTTCCCAGAACATGATCTGCTGATGGAGAGAAGAGGGCACACACTTGGAAGCGTGAATCCAATCTCGCCCCAACAGGACCAAGTAAGTGGTGTTAGCATCCACCACAAAGAACACAGTTGAAATCACCTTCGGTCCCACCTCAATAGGGGTCACCATCATCTTCTCTGGTTTCGTTGGCTGCCCTGTGACGCTTGTCATCTCGATATCAACTGGAGACAAATCACCAACTCTTTTTCCCAATTTCCTCAAGGTTTTGAAAGGCATAACGTTGAAGACAGCTCCATTATCAACGAAAACCTTGTTAATCAGCTTACCACAGATGTGAGCGTTAACATATAATGGTTTCAAATGTGGGATCGCCCCTTCTGGTATAGGTCAAAAAACCATAGGTGGCGGACTGCTGCACGAATGTCCGGGGCTGCCAGCCATTGCCGCCCATTCTGGTTCCTCGTCTTCCAGACTTGCCCAGATAGGTTCATCATCTTCTTCAAACCACCGCATACCAGTCATCCTAACGTCGAACATGGTCTTGTCGACCTTTATTATCTTACTACGTAAATTTCTTGTCTCCTTTGGAGCAAATGATCCAAATATTAGCTCAGGGGCTTCCCCTTCGGCGGCTTCTATCTCGGATCAATGTTGATCTATCTGTAGAATTGACAACGGAAACATCTGGCCTTCTTAACAGGCCTTTCGATCTCCTGATGCTCCTTCCTTTTAGGCGGCGCATCTATTTTCTTCTTCCCTTTGTCTTCTCGCCTCCCATGCCGAGCTGCATACCTGCGTTTGGCATTACGGATTTGCTTACGATTCATACCTGGAAATCGAGGATCTATATCTATGGGTAAAGGCTTCCTATTCCGACTCCATTTGTCATGGACTGGTTGTGGCTTGCATGTTGGTCGATCTCGGACCACCACTTTGTCTTTCAACTTCACTTCGAAAGAGCCATCCTTGTTGTCCTATTTCTCTGCCACCCTGATTTCACAGGTCTTGAACTTATCATCTTGCTCATGCTCTCGCTCTTTTGGCTTGCGCTCCATCTGTTTAGTGTCACTTTCATCGTCCCTTTGTATGTTATGTGAGGAACACACAGAGATTACCGCAGTAGTTACTTTCGGGAAGGGCTGCTGCTCTACCCCTATCGTCTTGTATTTAAACCATCCAGCTTTTATGGCTCTCTGAATTTTCTTCCGGAAGTGCGTACACTGGTCAGTGTGATGCGTAAAGGAATTATGCCACTTGCAGTATGGCCTTCCATTTATTTCCTCATTTGTCACCAACCGTTGTCCCTTTGGGATGCGAATTTGTCCATCTTCTAGCATAATATCGAAGATCTCATCTACTTTGGATGCGTCAAATGTCGGTTGCTCCTGCTCTTCTTCCCCTGGGAGGTGTTTCAGTTTGGAACATACATAAGGCTTGTCATTTACAATTTCAGCCGTCATTTCTTTAGCACCTTTCCCTTGTTCATCTTCTGGTGCATACATCTCTGTATCGACACTGGCCATCTGCTGGACCTTGTTCTGTCGGAAGTTGTGGTCCTTCTCTTTAAAAAGGGATTCTAGTCTCCCTGCTTTAGATGCTAAACTGGCAAAATCTCCAACATCATGGGCTGTCAAAGCCTCTAGCAATTGCGTATGCATATTCCTGACCGCCAAATTGGTCATTTCGCTTTTCTTAATGACTGTTGGGCAACGCCCTTTCTTTAGTCGTATCCGCTCTATGAACTGGTAGGTGGTTTCTTCCGGCATCTGCCTAATCTCCAGAAGGTCAGTAAGTGAGACTGTCAGAAGAGGATTAAAAAACCTTGCATAAAAGGCTGCTTCCTAACCTTCCCAAGTTTGCAATTGCCCTAGCGGAAGATTTGCAAACCAGGAAAAGGTTGTTCTCGTGAGAGATAACCTGAACAGCTGCAATTTATGAAATGGATTGTTGCCTACTTCCCCTAGTTGAGCCGTGAAACGTCCCACATGCTCAATGGTCGATGCTCCGTCTTCTCCCGAAAATGAGTGGAAATCAGGTGGCCTATAATTCCTCGGGAGCGGATGCTCATTGATGATTTTTTCTGGAAATGGCCTTTGATAAGTAGGTCTGTTCACCGTTTGAGGATTCATTCCGAAATGCACCCGCAGGATTTGAGCAATGTCTTCCGGATCCACTCTGGGTGGAATGGGGCGAAAGCAGGAATAGGATTGTGAGTCTGTCCTCCCGTTCTCTCTTCTCTGGGGAAGGTTGGCTCAGCCCTGATACCCAATGGAACATTATTTGGGTATATCAGAGGGGTCTTTCCTCTATCGACCCTAATAGCGGCACTTGGCAGGGTGTTGTCTACATATGAAGGCCCCGCAAAATTTGTTTGTAGTCTAGATGGTGACATCCCTGGCGGTGTGATCGAATATTTTTGGAGAGTTTTTAAAATATCTTTTAAGATACAAAAAAAATGATATATGTATAAAATGAAAATAGTGTCATGTGTGTTCGTGTAGTCACTCCAAAAACTTCGTCAAAAATAAAAAATCTCTTTAACCGGTGAGTGTCCGGGTCGAACTCAGGGAATATGCGAATATCCTATATTTAATTAAAAAAAGTGCAATGAGTTAATGCAGTCGAAGAAACTGAAAAGATAAATTACGGAAATTAAATCTAACTAAAAAAACGATAAAATATACGTATCTCGAAAAGGATGAAGCGAGGCGTTTGTGTCTGACTTTTGCGTTCCTTAATGGCTAGATTTCCATGGATGAAATGAGCGGGATGACGATGGCGTGATAGCGAAAAATATATGTATAATTGCGAGGCGACACAGAGAAATGAACGTGATCGCATTTGCTTGCTTAAGCCGATTCTCGACTCGGTTGGTACTTGATCTTGGGGGATGATGTGACCATCATGACGGAATTGCACCACAAGTCCCAAGGACCATAAGGCCAGGAGCATTTTACAAGGCATTGGACCTCCCCTAAATTGCTATGCCTAATTGAAGGGATCCCATGAATCAATATCCCCTAAATAGATGAATTCCACAGATCAAGGGATTACTAATAATCATGAGATTGCCATGAATTATGGGTCAATAATACTAAATAAGGTTGATTATAATAAATATCTCATATGTGATTTTATTTCCTTTAATAGTGTACTTTCTTGTTTTAATTTTACATGGTTCCTCTATAAAAGGTCCCATAATCATCATTGTAAGAACAATACACTAAACCATGATATTTCTTATAAAATTTCTTTGCTTTCAAGAGTGATTCTTGCTAGCTTGATTATTCGAGATTGTGCGATGCAATCCTCGGTAATCTTTCAAAATCGGGTTGTTTTCGAGTGATTCGAGACAGTTCGTCGCCTCTCAATCGGTGTTGGACCGCTTGTTGCGTCAACTCCATTCCTTGATTGGTTTAGAGATCTTGTGTTGCGTGCTGCCTAGTTCTCACGTGGTGCTAATCCGATCAACCATGTGGATCGAGAATCCAGATTATCCTTCCTTATTCCTTGTTGGTTTAGAGATTTTGTGTTGCGTGTTGCTTAGTTCTCACGTGGTGCCTATCCGATCAATCTTGTGAATCAAGAAACCAAAGTATCCTTCTATCTATATCCTCTTCATCTCTATTTCTTCCACCAAATTCCGTATCTTTCTATTTCTTTATTTCCTGTGGTTTGCGAGTTTCCGAATCCTTCGGTTGCGCTCGCATCATCTGGTATCAGAGCTAGTTGATACAATCTCTTGATCGATATCACGGTTCATATTTGAAAAAAAAAAGTCAAAAAAAAGGCAAAAAAAAATCCGAAAAAAAAGAAAAAAAAATCCGAAAGAAAAAAAAACAAAGAAAAAAAAGTTACAAAAAAAAATAAAATTGGCATGAGAATATTTTGAAATGAACGGTTGATGGAACAACCTTTTGAAGAGGGAGGAGATGATGTGACCATCATGACGGAATTGCACCACAAGTCCCAAGGACAATAAGGCCAGGAGCATTTTACAAGGCATTGGACCTCCCCTAAATTGCTATGCCTAATTGAAGGGATCCCATGAATCAATATCCCCTAAATAGATGAATTCCACAGATCAAGGGATTACTAATAATCATTAGATTGCCATGAATTATGGGTCAATAATACTAAATAAGGTTGATTATAATAAATATCTCATATGTGATTTTATTTCCTTTAATAGTGTACTTTCTTGTTTTAATTTTACATGGTTCCTCTATAAAAGGTCCCATAATCATCATTGTAAGAACAATACACTAAACCATGATATTTCTTATAAAATTTCTTTGCTTTCAAGAGTGATTCTTGCTAGCTTGATTATTCGAGATTGTGCGATGCAATCCTCGGTAATCTTTCAAAATCGGGTTGTTTTCGAGTGATTCGAGACAGTTCGTCGCCTCTCAATCGGTGCTGGACCGCTTGTTGCGTCAACTCCATTCCTTGATTGGTTTAGAGATCTTGTGTTGCGTGCTGCCTAGTTCTCACGTGGTGCTAATCCGATCAACCATGTGGATCGAGAATCCAGATTATCCTTCCTTATTCCTTGTTGGTTTAGAGATTTTGTGTTGCGTGTTGCTTAGTTCACACGTGGTGCCTATCCGATCAATCTTGTGAATCAAGAAACCAAAGTATCCTTCTATCTATATCCTCTTCATCTCTATTTCTTCCACCAAATTCCGTATCTTTCTATTTCTTTATTTCCTGTGGTTTGCGAGTTTCCGAATCCTTCGGTTGCGCTCGCATCATCTGGTATCAGAGCTAGTTGATACAATCTCTTGATCGATATCACGGTTCATATTTGAAAAAAAAAAGTCAAAAAAAAGGCAAAAAAAATCCGAAAAAAAAAAAAAAAAAAAATCCGAAAGAAAAAAAAACAAAGAAGAAAAAAAAGTTACAAAAAAAAATAAAATTGGCATGAGAATATTTTGAAATGAACGGTTGATGGAACAACCTTTTGAAGAGGGAGGAGATGATGTGACCATCATGACGGAATTGCACCACAAGTCCCAAGGACCATAAGGCCAGGAGCATTTTACAAGGCATTGGACCTCCCCTAAATTGCTATGCCTAATTGAAGGGATCCCATGAATCAATATCCCCTAAATAGATGAATTCCACAGATCAAGGGATTACTAATAATCATTAGATTGCCATGAATTATGGGTCAATAATACTAAATAAGGTTGATTATAATAAATATCTCATATGTGATTTTATTTCCTTTAATAGTGTACTTTCTTGTTTTAATTTTACATGGTTCCTCTATAAAAGGTCCCATAATCATCATTGTAAGAACAATACACTAAACCATGATATTTCTTATAAAATTTCTTTGCTTTCAAGAGTGATTCTTGCTAGCTTGATTATTCGAGATTGTGCGATGCAATCCTCGGTAATCTTTCAAAATCGGGTTGTTTTCGAGTGATTCGAGACAGTTCGTCGCCTCTCAATCGGTGCTGGACCGCTTGTTGCGTCAACTCCATTCCTTGATTGGTTTAGAGATCTTGTGTTGCGTGCTGCCTAGTTCTCACGTGGTGCTAATCCGATCAACCATGTGGATCGAGAATCCAGATTATCCTTCCTTATTCCTTGTTGGTTTAGAGATTTTGTGTTGCGTGTTGCTTAGTTCACACGTGGTGCCTATCCGATCAATCTTGTGAATCAAGAAACCAAAGTATCCTTCTATCTATATCCTCTTCATCTCTATTTCTTCCACCAAATTCCGTATCTTTCTATTTCTTTATTTCCTGTGGTTTGCGAGTTTCCGAATCCTTCGGTTGCGCTCGCATCAGGGGATTTACAACGAGGCTTCAGCGACACCCGGCGAAGAACATTATAAGCAAGAAACCCTACTGTCACTAGGAATCTCTGTGACCCAATAGACCCCCGCCTATGCCCCATGAATTATTCTTCCAACCGTTCCGCTAGTGGCTCTACCCCTTTTATTACTTCTCTTTAATCGAAATCGAATTCAGAACAGCAACTAAGCAGGTCGACAAGGCTCCCGCGTACTTAGCTACGTTGAACTACCCGGAAACCGCTTTTGGCGCATAACAGGGCTGAAATAGTCGATTCTTCTGTCGCCCTTCCGCAACCTTGTCGAAATCCAACTTGAACAATTCAAATCAAACATGGAATTTTTGGGTGAAGGTGAGGTGGAGAAATATGATAGGAATTTTACTAGCTAAAATAATATGCTGGAATTAAAAGAAAAAGGGGGAGAAAATCAGTTTGCTCGCGACACAAAATCGAAAATCTCGTATTACTAAACTAGATAAAAATACGGAAGAAAAGAAAATGGAGAAAATGGAATGTATATTATTGTGTATATATGGTGTGTATGTATATATATCTATGGTGTATCTGTTTCTATCTATGGTCTATATATATATATATATATATGGTACAATTATAGGGGATATTTATAGGGGAAAAGCTTCTAGAAGCTTGACGGTTACAACCGCCAATAAATAACTACTTCTAAAAATAACTGCTAACTACCTCTAAAAATAACTATAAATAACTAACTCTAAAAATAGCTACTAATATAACTACTAAACTACCTATTTTCTAGAAGGTTCTAGAATAAAAATTACACAAAAATAGCCAAAAATTGGCTAAAAAGTAGTGCAGGATTTTAATTAAGGGAGCTGGGAGAGTGTAGTAAATGCAGGAGCTGAGGGTGCAGGAGACATAAATGCAGCAGAATTCTGTGCAGGAATTATTGTGGTGGCGCAGTAAATGCACTGCTGACCAGCGGCAATAAATGCAGCGAGAATTAATGCAGCCGCCGCTTCGCTTACTTCCACGTATGGCGTTCCGCTTCGCTTACTTCCACGTATGGCTTTCCGCTTCGCTCATATTTTCGTGTCAGCCGCCGCTTGAATTCCGTGTTAGCCGCCGCTTCGCTTTCCGCGCTCGCTTGCCTTCCGCGCTCATAAATACAGCCGCCGCTCGCCTTCTGTGCTCGCTTGCCTTCCGTGCTCAAAAATACAGCCGCCGCTCGCCTTCCGCGCTCGCTTGCCTTCCGCGCTTGCGCACTTCTATGTAGCTGCCGCTTGTCTTCCGCGCGGCCGTCGCTTGTCTTCCGTGCTCGGTTGACTTTGACTTTCGCGCGTTG